GCCACTTCCGGTTTTCTGGTGGTTTATTGGAGATAGGAGTCTCACAGTCTCTCCTGCCCGGGCTGGCTTTGAACCGCGATTCTCAGATCTCAGCCTCCTGAGTAGCTAGGATTACAGGCGTGAGCCACCAGCGCCCGGCGAAAAAAAGACCTTATTTATTATCTACCTTAGGCAGAAATAAGTTTCAAGTGTAGTTTCCTGCTGGACACCAGTGGCTCACTAATCCTAGCTAGTAGGAGGCTGAGATCTGAGCATCACAGTTCAAAGCCAGCCCAGGCAGGAAAAGTCCATGAGACTCTCAGCTCCAATTAACCATTCAAAAACTGGAAGTGGTGCTGTGGCTCAAAGTGTAGAAGGCTAGCTTTGAATAAAAGAACTCAGGGATAGCTCCCAGGCCCTGAGTTTAAAATCCAGACTAACAAACACACTCACACACACACACACACACACACACACACACACACACACACACACACACACACACACTGAAGGAAGGGGGATGGGGGTGAGGGGGGAGAGAAAAAGAGAGGGGAGGAGGGAGGATGGGAGGGAGAGAGAAAGAAAAAGAAAGAAAGAAAGGAGAGAGAAAGGAAAGGAGGGAGGGAGGGAGGGAGGAAGGGTAATGAATCTTTGTATAGAGCCCTGGCAGATCTCAAACACCTATATTCCTGCCTCAGCCTCCTAGTTGCTGGGAAATCCAACAGTTCATAACTACTTATTCCATACACCATACTCAAACATTTAGAAATATGTGGAAAATTTCTGGTTGTTATAGTTAATTCAGGCTTGTATTTACAGCGCCAGAGTTTAGGGATGCTAAATAACATGTAATGGACAGGATAATGATGAACTATCTCACCTAAAAAGACATTACCATTCAGGAAGCTTGATTCTAGCCTCTAACAGTAAGTAGCACTGTCTGGAAGGATGGTGGATGTGATAAATGTGGATGCATACAAAAGTAGGGAGCAGGATGGGAATGTGGCTTAGTGCCTAGCATGCATGAGGCCCTGGGTGCAATTCCTCACAACCACATAAACAGGAAAAGCCAAAAGTGGTGCTGTGGCTCAAGTGGTAGAGTGCTAGCCATAAGCAAAAGAAGCTCAAGGACCGTGCCCAGGACCTGAGTTCAAGCTCCAGGACTGAAAAAAAAAAAGAAAAAGAAAGAAAGTAAGGAGCAGAGGTGAAAGGGAACTACATCTTCATGTTCCAGTCAATAAAGCTTAAAGTTAAACGACCAAAAGAAATATTATTGCTGGGAACTGGTGGCTCATGCCTGTAATCCTAGCTACTCAGGAGGCTAAGATCTGAGGATCACAGTTCAAAGCCAACCCAGGCAGAAAAGTCCCCATGAGACTCTTATCTCCAATTAACCACTCAAAAACCAGAAGTGGTGCTGTGGCTTAAAGCGGTAGAGCCCTAGCCTTGAGCAAAAGAGCTCAAGGACAGTACTAGGCCCTGAGTTCAAGCCCAATGACCAAAAAAAGAAGCACAAAAAACAAAAAAAAAAGGAACATTATTGGTGGACATAGTGGCTCATGCTTACAATCATAGCATTCAGAAGGCCAAGGCCAGCCTGAGCTACATAATAAAACTTTGTCTCAAAAACAGTGAAAAAAAGTAATATAAAAAGATAACTTATTATGGTCAAAGCAGAACAATAGAACCTGTTGAAATTGTTTTAGGAAGGGAGAGATTGTATACTTGCGTGAAATGTCACAACGCATTCACCCTTGTGTACTAATATAAAACAACAACAAAATCACATTAGTGTCTCATCCCTCTAATTCTTAGCTACTTAGCTACGTCAGGCTGGAAGTGTGTAGCTCAAGTGGTAGATTGCCAGCTAAACAAGCAAGTTGATTAAATGCCAGATCCTTCGTGCAAACCCTAGTGGAAGGAAATATCAGAATTTTCCCATAGTCTTTTTGTTGTTGTTGTTGGTCACAGGACTTGAACTCTGGGCCTAGGTGCTATCCCTCAGCTCTTCAGCTCAAGGCAAGCGTTCTACCACTTGAGCCACAGCACCACTTTGGTTTTCTGAGTGGTTTATTGGAGATAAGAGTCTCACGGAAAGCCGGGCACCTGTAATCCTAGCTACTCAGAAGGCTGAGATCTGAGGATCGCGGTTCAAAGCCAGCCCGGGCAGGAGAGACCGTGAGACTCCTATCTCCAATAAACCACCAGGAAACCAGAAGTGGCGCTGTAGCTCAAGCGGTAGAGCGTCGCCTTGAGCTGAATTGCTGAGGGACAGTGCCCAGGCCCAGAGTTCAAGCCCCACGACCGACAAAAAAAAAAAAAAAAAGAGTCTCACAGAGTTTCCTGCCCGGACTGGCTTTGAACCTCAATCCTCAGATCTTAGCCTCCTGAGTAGCTAGGATTACAGGCGTGAGCTACTAATGCATAGGTTTCCCATAGTTTTTGAAGGCTTCACATACAAGCCTAACAAATACCTAATTTACAAAGTGATACAATCTTCATGTAATGTGGACAATCAACTAATCTAAGTAACAATTAGTAAGAAACTTCAATGTAATAATCTACTGTCATTAAAAACTGTTAGGAAGGGGCTGGGAAGATGGCTCAGCGGTAGAGCGCTTGCTTTGCATGCCTGAGGCCCTGAGTTCGATTCCTCAGCACCACATAAGCAAAATGAAAAAAGCCGGAAGTGGCGCTGTGGCTCAAGTGGTAGAGCGCTATCCTTGAGTTGAAGAGCTGAGGGACAACGTCCAGGCCCAGAGTTCAACCGACAAAAAAAAAAAAAAAAAAACTGTTAGGGAGTTTTAGCTGCTAGGAAACAACAAAAACTCAATTACAAAGATATTACCCTTGGCTTTTGGATGTATGGCTCAGTTGTCACTAGCCAATGAGTGAAAGAGTCAGGTACCAAGTTCAAGTCCCATTCTAAGACCTAAAAAAAAAGATACTACTATTTCTGGGCTCAGGGCACTTTAAAATATGAATACTACTACTAATTCAACTAGGTTGTTTGTTAAGAAAAGGAAGTTAAAATAATAATGTGGTAATTAGATAATTTGCTAAACCTGTTTATAAACTAAAATGTGAAACCTTATTTATATTTCAAAGCAACAGTGTCACTTGAGAAGTCGCATCCACTCCCACAGAGAGGCAATGAAGTCTGAATTTAAGGCCTCACAATTGCTAGGCAGGTGTTCTGCCTTTCTGGGGGGAGGGAAGGGTGTTTCAAAATAGAACCAGGGCTTCACACATTACCCCAGCCATTAAGAAACTTTAAAAATAAATACAAACTGGGCACCTGTGGCTCATGCTGTAATCCTAGCTACTCAGGAGGCTGAGATCTGAGAACAGTATGAAGCCAGCCCAAGCAGGAAAGTCCATGAAACTCTATCTCCAACTGACCACCAGAAAACCAGAAGTGAGGCTGTGGCTCAAAATGGTACAGCACTAGCCTTGAGTAAAAAGCTGAGAGACTGCACAGGCCCTGAGTTCAAGCTGACAAAATAAATGAACTGTTAAAAACAAATGAACACACACACACACAAATAACCAGGTTTCACTTTAGACCAAGCATCTAAGTTGTTTTCTTTTGATGTTGTTTTTGTTGAGTTCTTTTGCTAATGCTCAACCACTTTAAGACATGAATCCACTTCTGTTGTTTTTTTTTGCAACAGGGTCTTGCTAGGTTGTTTGGGACGGCCTCAAGCAATCCCCATACCATAGCCTGGGATTACTGATATGTGCTATGTCTCTTAGCTGCTTGAATTCTCCAACTAATGCTCAAGTAGGTTCTGGAAATAATGCACTCTCAAGTTTCCTTATGACTTTAAATTTCAGATTCACAATTCCATGTCAACACAGTGAAGAATGCACTTAAGGACATCCCCAAAGAGGCAAGGAAATCTGTGGGCAAGAGCAGCTACTACCCCTGAGACATTGTATCTCCCTCTCTCCTCCCCTAAAGCTTCTCTAATTGACCTATTATTACACTGTAGGGAAGTTAATCTCTAACTGACCTATTACACTGTAGAGTGGTTAATATTCTAATGTAAAGGCAACTCTCTGGTTAACATAGAATTGTTAACATCCAATACCTCAAAAGAAAATTTGTTTTTGTACATTTTCAGTGAGAAAGGTCCACAGAAGTATGTGTAGTGGATTCCTTCTATAGTGGACCAAGGTATAAATGAAGTCTCTCTTAGCGCTTCTCCCAAGAACAGACTACTGGGCAAACACCATCTTCAGAAAAGAACAAAACTAATTTAAGTGATCATACATCAGTAATGTTTATCCATAGGCATGAGAGTGATTGGAATGGGTTGCTTCCAAATGCTAATTATCCAAAGCACAGACAAAGCAGTTCAATCTGACCACACAAGATCCTAGCATCTCTTCTAGCATCCTTCTAAATATCAAGCTTAGTTATTTTGGGCCAAAGGCAAAAAACATAATTAGGAATTCACCTTTAAGTACCCTGGATATTCTTAAACAGAGTTTAAGTAGATTTTCAAACACTTAATTCTCCCAATTAATTTACATAGGTATAAAAAAACTCCCACTGTACAGTGAATTTAAACCACATCAAGTATAGCGGCTCTCCCCTGTAACCCTGATTACTCAGAAAGCAAGAAAAAGGGGGGATTACAGACTAACCTCTGCAGAAAGTTCACGAGACTCCATTGCAACCAATAGCTGGTTGTGCTGGGACACAGTTATCATCCCTGCTACTCCAGAATTTGTAAAGTAGCCAAAGCAAAGAGGACTAGAGAGGGGGAGGTGTGTGAGAATCAAGCTATAGAGCGTCTGCCTGGTTCGAAAGCCCCAAATAGCCCCCACAAAAAAAGAAATAAGAAAACCTCCTACCAAATAGCCGGAGAAGATTTCAACTTTCCTCAGTCCAAAACGCCAACTTCGTCTTCCCGTCCCTTCTTACCCTAACAGAACGGAACGGAGGCGGATACTAGTAACACCGCACAGAAAAGTAGCTTTTCCACCATCTGAATGTCCAAATTGTACCAGCCGCTTTCTCTAGAAAAGCGTTCCACGAGCGTAGGGGGGGGGGGAAGAACCAAAACGGAAAGGATACAGAGATGATTGAACAAATCAAAGCCCTTGACTTGCGAGCCGGCAGTTCTGGGGCCTCTACCTAACGGCACTATTACCAAAGCTTCCCGGCTTCAGGAACAACGGCCTGGGGCGCCAGGTTTCGCAGACAAACAACAAGGGAGGGCAGCGGCTCCTCTAGACAAGCCTCTTCCCGGTCCCTAGAAAACACCCGGTGCAGGAGAAGCTGCTGCCTCGGGCTCGAGGCCTCCAGGCCTGGACGCTGAGCTGGCGCCCAGCGGCGCGAGGAATTGGCCAGTGCTGCGATCCGTCCGTCAGTCATTCGGCCGGTGCTCCCGCTTACCTACATCCCTCCTTCCCTGCACCTGGCCGATCGCCTCAGCCACGCCGCGGCAGGCTAGACTGCGGCCTCGCCTTCGCCAACACCCGCGGAAGCTTCGCCAGCAAGGAGGTGTCCGGCCTGTCCGCGACCGCCACGGGTACCGAGCTTCCTCCCGAGCCTCTGCGCGAAGCCGGCGCCCACTTACTACGTCACCGCCTCCAGAGAGCCCTTCCGCCTGCAGCCCCGCCCGCCCCATGTGGAGAGCGGGGATGGGGGCGGGCCACAGGCCCCCACCGTCTTCCGCTTCCCGGGCCCGTCGCCACGCGTGGTGCTGTCCCAGACTTCGAGTGGGGACCTGGACGAAACGTGAGGGGGGAATTACGGAAGCCCTGAAAAGCGTTGAGATTTCTTTTCGGCCTCTTCCCAAATTATCACTCCACAACTCGTAAGCCACCAAACAACCACGTTCCTGCACTTTGGGGCCCAAGCGGGCCAGTCTGCCCACCTTGATCTTCTCCATTAGTGTGGTGACTTGCCTCTTCATCTGTACCCTGCCCGGCCCCGTCCTGCTCTGCCCAACTGTGAACTTCCGAGGAGGGAAGAGCTCCAAACAATGGCCTACTAGTTCTTACTCTGTGCAGTAAATTCTATATTCTGTTTCCAACCGGGAGGGAAGTATGACTTAGGCTTTTCATTTTGAAACAAAACTTAACTCAAAACCCGTGTGTGTGTGTGTGTGTGTGTGTGTGTGTGTGTGTGCACTCAAGAACTCAACACCTGGGCTCTGTCCCTCTCTACCACTTACTTGAGATACAACTCCATTTCCAGCTTTTGGGTGAAGATAAATTTTCTTGCCTTGGCTGGCTTTGAGCCACAATCTTCAAAATCCTCAAATCTCAAGCTTCTGAATAGCTAGGATTGCAAGCCATCAGCGTCTGGCTGCTTTTTTTTTTTTTTTTTTATTGTTGTTGAGTAGTTTTTCTATGTAAACCAGATTGGTGTCAAACTCGGACCCTCCTGCCTTAGCCTAAGAATTGGGGTTACAGGGTGCACTTTAACACCAGATTACATCCTGGGCCACCTCCCCCCCCATACACACACCCCTACAGTCAGACCCTGGGAGGATCCCAGCCCTGAGGTCAAATCCCCATCTGCCCCTTCCCCACTTATACCCTGGCAGGACCTTGGCTGCGCCTTTTCTTGGCCATGCTTCACCACACACAGCAGGAACAAGCAGTTCGGTGAAATAGACTTCTCTTCCTGCCTGAATACTGCAATGGCATTATGTTTATAGGCTACCTAATTAAACATACCTAATTACCTAACAGTAGGATCTTAGCCTGATTGTGTAAAGAGTTAAGTAATGACCTAATATCTCCACAGGTAGAAAAGGTAATTGAAGCTGGGCACTGGTGACTCACTCCTGTAATCCTAGCTACTCAGGAGGCTGAGATCTGAGGATGGAGGTTCAAAGCCAGCCCAGGTAGGAAAGTCCTTGAGACTCTTATCTCCAATAAACGACCAGAAAACCGGAAAAGGCGCTGTGGCTCAAGTGGTAGAGTGCT